TCTCCTACACTCCATTGCTGTTGATTTTCTTTTTACTTATTGGATGGACAATGCGATCTCACTAGGATAAACCAGCACACGGCTTGACTCGTCGGCATCCAAGGCGTTGTTGTGTGAATTAATCTATTTCACTTGTAACAGTTTTGAAGATACCATGATAACCATAGTCAAAGGTTTGTCATATGAGAACTGTGGGGGTTATTTTTAATGTATAAAACTTGTATTTAATGTTCACACGGTGAATGACCGGTGGCGTGGATGTACAATAATGGTAAAAGGGTAGTGAGCAGACTACACCCTGCGATAAGGACTGGAGGGTCGTATGATAAGAGGAAGTAATCTACGGAGTGAAGCCTACGCCCTGTCCCCCTCACACCCTCGTAATATCGATTGGGGGTTGTAACCTGTTCAGCGTTCAGCGTTCAGCGTCAGTCCACCTGGATCAGTTGTCCCTGTGCTACTAGCCTACTGATAACACTCTTCACTGGCAACAGGTACACTACAGTGCTAAGTAACTTTCTAAACATAACTTATTATTTAATTTGGAAATTTTTCTTATAGCTAGAAATATGAAAAATATTATTTTACAGCAAGCAATCTTAGTTTGTGAATCTAAAATTGTTTTGTTTGTTCTACTAAACCACCAACGTATAAGAGGTTTAATATTTTGAAGCTAGGTTAATTTAGAAAGGGACTAAATGCATTATACAGTACTACCTGTCGTGAAGGCCAGGGAATTCTTCCGTCGGGATTTTAAAATATTAAAGGTGTACTAAAGCTTGGTTCAGCCAGTAATATTGAAATAGCTGACGGACTTTTTTATAAGTAGTTGACACTATGACATCTTATCACATCTATATAAATAAATTTTATATTAAATGGATAAGTGTATAGATTGAGGGGTTTGTGTTTAAAGAAGTGGTTGGGGGATGTCAACTTCTGTTCACGGTACAAATTTACAGATTAAACCAATGCATTACTTTTAGTCTATGGAAAGTAAAATATTAATTTCCACTTCTCTAATAAACGTTTTTGACTTAAGATCGCCGTTATTTTGATACTTTGTTTAATTTACGAATATTATTCTAAAAGTTAAACTAACTGTAAAATAGAGGGTTGCAACAGTGAGGGTACACAATGCGTTTTTCGATTCATGTTGACAATCGTGTATCAAACCTAAAGAAAGAGTGGTACGCCCACCGTAAAAGGCTTAAAACAAACACAGACGTAATTGTCAAGTGCAAAGTCTCTCTGTCTTTATTATTTTGCAATTCTTATTTAATACAGTTTTATCGAACATACATGATCTTTTAATTGATAAATTAAATGGACCCGCAGTTTTAGCTAACCGTATACGAGTTGTAAGCCAATAGTATGAATGCAAGATGAGCGTGGAATGGGCGCGTAATAATGCTATGTTCTGCTAAACTATATGTTGCTTAAAGTAGGTAGGGCTACATATTTTGATGGTGTAGGCCTACGCATATTTATCACGGAAAATTCTGTCCAGAGTATTCATCATCAGGGTGATTTCACGATTAAAAGCTTGGTAAGTTATTTAAGGAAGTACTTTTGTGAATAAATTAGATTTTTTAGTGTTTATTTTTTAAAGGGGTTTCTTTAAGAAACATTTTTATGTTCTTAAAATGTGCAGCATATTGGTTTTATTAAAATGTTTTTATTAAGTGTGTTTTAAAATCTTAAAATAACTATAAAATACTTGGATAACTTATTCATTTACTAAATATAAGACATATACAGCTAGAAAATGGATGGACTGCTTTCCTTACTTAGAGTCAATACATAACACGATGAGTTTGTTTTCTAAATTCATATGTTATTTTGTGGCGCGTTGAGCCGTACGGGTTCACTAGTAACATAAGTTACGATAACTTTTGAATCATAATTTTCAAGGAAATGGGATTTGTACTATTTTGTTTCGAATGTAAAGGACTATAACATACTAAGTTTTTATCAAAATCGTTCGGGATATTTTCGAGCAAATCCGATTCTTCCGTTATTTTATGGGGTTTTATAGGAAAATCCCCATAAGAACCCGAATTTCATAAAAATGAGAGAACTCCTGGATATACCATGGATTAGTATCTACATCCCAAATTTCATCAAAATCGGACAACAGGTGTGGCATATAGCTCTGTACACATCCACACACATACTGTATTTTCCTTCCACCGTGCAAACATACAGGCATCACTTTGTAAATCAAAATAACAAGATGTATACACTCAAAACTGAAACCCAAGCATTTTGAAGAAAACAATACTTTCTCCATGGTATAGGGAGATAAAGTAAAAAGGCTATGGTTAAATTTGTAGTGCTGCCAGGAGACAGTTATTTCAAACATATGTTTTGTTCGAACATATGAATTCATTGTGTTTGTTTTTTATACTGTTTAAACAATCTAGTGAACCACACAAATCATTCTTTCTAGGCTATGTAGGCCTAATTAAATTGATATTTTTACCTGATTTTTTAATTTTAGTGTACCAATCCGCTAGAAATTTATGAATACCTGTTTTTTTATTTTACTTCGTTGTTATCACCTACATTGTTGCACACTTGTTATGTATGTTTAGTGTTATTGGGAAGTCATTGTGCAAAAGGCTTTACATTGTGTTTTTGTAGGTATAAATACCGCTTATGTTGTTGTATGCTTACATCAGACACGGTCTTGGAATATGACCTTCAGTTATTCAAGTATTGTCCTAAGAAATATTACGATATTTTCGTAAACTCGTATAAAATCAACTTTCGAATTAAACTACGTTTTAGTTGGAATCTATCATTTCGCTTTTCGATAAGCATAGCTGTAGCTACTGTGAGGAACTTACTACGTGACTAAATGGGGAACCATGATTTTGTCTATTCGAACACATGAGAGAAGTACTTCAGTAGGCCTATTGACAAAACGCATTTTTCATCAATCATAATACAAGGAAAGTGAGCTCTAATGTTGCTTCATCTAGCAGGATCACGGATGTAGAACGCCACGATGTCAATTCAATATCACACTCTCCTGGAATGTTTCAAATAGCTCCATGAATCTATTGAAATAGTGAGATGATTACACGAAGAAAAAAAAACAAATAAGTCTACCTTTATCAACTAGTAAAATTCCATAGATGAGCCATCAAATTAATTTTCATAAATTTCATGATAGAAAATTATATGGTATCAGAGTTTAAATATGATGTAAAATATAATAGTTTGAACACCAACTAATGCTGTAGGGACATTTATGTTGTAATGTTAGGAGAGAGTTCACATCGTGTATGGTGGTCTCCACGCAGATACTTGAGTGTTTAAACTAAATCAAAGTGTAAAAATACCAAAAACAATTTAACAAATTTAGGAGTATTCATCCGCCGTAACACATTTTCTCATCACAGGTGTCTACGAGTAAATATTCCTATTTGCCACCCTGAGGAAAAGAATAGATTTGTAAAATTTGTGTGTACTAATTTCAAGGCGTACAATTTCTATACTTCTCACTCATATTTATGGCAACTTTTGTTTTTTTTTCTTACACACTCTTTTTATCCTTTATAGCCCTTCATAAAATCTTGATATACTGATATACTAGTAAATTGTTTTTTTTTCATTCAATTTGTTTTTGAAAACTTTTTTGAACTCTAGGAAAGTGATGATGCAATCTAGACTGCCTGTCTTGTGCCTTTTTGGCACTTCTTATACATCCTTATATACAATTCTGTAAGACAAAATTTTTACCAGAATATTGTGGACGTCTGGTAAGTCGCAGAAAAGTGGGAGAGGTCTTAAATTAAAGGTCTTAACCCTAGGGACTCGGGAAAATAGCAGAACTCCCATAAAGTTACCAGGAAACGAGATATAACGTAAAATATCCACCATAAGAAAAGCATTGGGACTGAAAAACGTCTGCATTCTAATCAGCTGTTACTTATTTATTTGTAATGTTTACATTTATTCCGAAAGTCAATGTTATCAAAAATGTTTCAAAATGAAATGTATTTGTTTTATTTTCTGTTTTCCGTTTTTATAATGAGTGAAGTTACTAGACAGGGTATGGGAATATCTGCAAGACGTAGAAGAGTAACCAGGAATTTATTTTGTTTTCCGTTTTTATAATGAGTAAAGTAACTAGACAGAGTAGGGGGGGGGGACCTGCAAGACGTGGAAGAGTATCCAGGAATTCAACTGACACAAGAAATGCTGAAAGAGAACGTCATGTAAGGCCTAACTATGAAAGAAATCCACAACCTGGTTTACAACCTGCCTTCAGAAGAACACTGGAAAATGAGTTGAGTGTTGCTTATCACAATCTATGTCCTCTTAACATGATTCTAACTTCATAAAACAACTTAAGGCAATACAACAGTGCAATGGCTTTTGCGTCGCTTTCCGCTACACAAAAAGAGATTCCGGGAAATGGCCCTTAATGTTTTAAAATTCAGGGACAAATTCATAGATATATAACAATGGTGTCTAAATTAGGGGCTATGGCCCCTACAGGCCACTAGTATTAGAATAAAACTTTGACGTGTCCTATTGCATTGTTTTGCTTTAATGTAATCTATACTATTATAAAGAAGATAAATAATAATAATTTTAAATTTTGATTTTTTATTTTTTATTTTGATTTTGAATTTTTATTTTTATTTTGAATTTTGATTTTTTATTTGAATTTTCAATTTTGATTTTGATTTTGAATCAGAATTCGGAATTCGATTACTAAATGATATTGGAGACTCCAAACTGTGTGTGCAGTGTTAGGCATATTATTGGCTTTTCCAGAAAACAACAATGATAAGGAAGCATGCTACATGCTGTTCTTCAACAGGCTAGATACTAGGCCTACTTCATGGGTAATTGAGTCATTTACAAAAATAACTAAAGGCTTTACAACCTAATGTTCTTTCTGCATAGTATCCGTCATCTTTCTGTTTTCAGTACCTGTAACCAAGCAACGATTTAAAAATATCATTTAATAAAATTTTAATATTATAGATTCCTCTTTATCACCGTAAGTTAAATTAATTATAAACAGAAAACATTCAAAATGTCAAATAACCCAAGGTAAGTTCAATTGCTTTGAATTTTTACTGATTCATCTTTGTCCAATAAGTATAGGCATGTTTTCACAGGTACAAGGATAGGCATATCACCCCCCTCGCAATTGAAGTATTCTAAACTATTTATGTAGGTCATATGTACATTGTATCTTTCAACATTTCGTATGCTCTGAAAACAAGCCACACTTTTCTTTTAATTGAAAACTTAAAGGAAGCACCAAGGCAGACAGATACAACTCCAGTATTGGTGGCAGTAAGTAATTCAAAGCGCACTTCATGAGCCATGTAATTGCCACGTGTGTGATGGTGTCAGACCTACACTCTCTCCGGTGTCAGTGGCGGTTGTTCCAATGTCAGAAAGCACATTATGTACCATATTAATTGTCACGTTATGTGCCATTTAATTGCCACGTTTGTGATGGTGTCAGGCCATGGCCTAGTCTCAGGTGTCAGTGGCGGACGGCGGTTGTTCCATTGTCTGAACGCACATTATGTGCCATATAATTGCCACGTTTGTGATGGTGTCAGGCCATGGCCTAGTCTCAGGTGTCAGTGGCGAACGGCGGTTGTTCCATTGTCTGAACGCACATTATGTGCCATATAATTGTCACGTTGGTGTCAGTGTCAGGTCTAGTTTCCGGTGTCAGTGGCGGTTGTTCCATTGTCTGAACGCACATTATGTACCATATTAATTGTCACGTTATGTGCCATTTAATTGCCACGTTTGTGATGGTGTCAGGCCATGGCCTAGTCTCAGGTGTCAGTGGCGGACGGCGGTTGTTCCATTGTCTGAACGCACATTATGTGCCATATAATTGCCACGTTTGTGATGGTGTCAGGCCATGGCCTAGTCTCAGGTGTCAGTGGAGAACGGCGGTTGTTCCATTGTCTGAACGCACATTATGTGCCATATAATTGTCACGTTGGTGTCAGTGTCAGACATAGTCTCCGGTGTTAGTTGCTGTTGTTCCATTGAACGCACATTATGTGCCATATAATTGTCACGTTGGTGATGGTGTCAGGCCTAGTTTCCGGTGTCAGTGGCGGTGGTTCCATTGTCTGAGCGCACATTATTAATGAGCATCGATCGTCTGCCAGCCCGGTATGGACATGCAAACTGAGGGCGGGGTCTGGCCGGGTGTTTCCCTCTTAGCCTAATTGTATCGGACACCTCTCCCTCCCTTACAGTCCCGGCCACGTAAAGAGAGAAAATGTCCAGGTAGACCCGGTCAGACCTAATCCGCCGTTGTCAAAACATAGCTATTGTTTTGAAACCGAGGGGGCGCGCTACCCCATCCCAGCGGTCATTGCTACCTCAGTGGTCATTGCCTGCTGCTTCTCAACATCGACTAGCCAATCAACGAAGCGACGTAGAATCGCGATTCAAATTTTGTGATATTCGTCTTCACTTTGTGAATAAAATGACCTGTCACTTAATTATAGGCGATCACCCGTTCGATTTATAGAATTTGTACTGGCCCGAGTTATTTCTAAGAATTAAAGGGAGGCAGTAGCAATGACCGCTGGGATGGGGTAGCGCGCCCCCTCGGTTTCAAAACAATAGCTATGTTTTGACATCAGCGGATTAGGCCTGACCGGGTCTACCTGGACATTTTCTCTCTTTACGTGGCCGGGACTGTACATTCCCACTTTTATCGAGTTAATCCGACTCACGTAATTCGAACTTTCTTTACGCCCTCTTTACAAATGTTTGTTCCGACGTGGTTACTCGGTCTGCTTTTGATCTTCTCTATGAGTGTAAGTTTTAACCCTGTGGCGGGAGCCCCTCTGTGATTCTTGTTAATTTTTTATTTGTCTACGTCATTGGCATGTTTGAACGTTTTCGCAAGGGAACGGATCAAATCATGGTTACGTTAATTTTACCTTTCATTTTAACTTTGTACATTTTTTTTTGCCTGTTATTTCTTTTACACGATATTGTTAATACCACGTAGCCTATCCTTGATATTTTTTATTTCAAGTGTATGTACCGAAGTATGACAGTCAACCCATGCCAATCCATACTTTTTTCCTGTTGCTAGATTTTGGAGCCTAAATCATTTCTGAACTTGACTTTTTAAAATAATCTAAATTAATTTAAGACTAAATTACTTACGTAATCCCGTCACAGTTCAACTAATGTTGTCAAAGTAGGACATGTTTCGGTGTTAAAACGCCATCGTCAGCGTCAGTATGCCCCTTGCTACCTGTGCGGTCGGAATCTTTGGTTAGAACAGGCCTGTTTTTAAATGTTTCAATTTCTCTTTTTGTAGTTTTCATAATTTTGTTCGTGCTGTATTGTGTTTACCCTTTGATGATGTCTACAACTGATCAACTCTACAAGTACCTGAAGCTGATTGAAGCTGAAGCATAAATTGACAAAATTTGTTGAGCTGTGTTAAGTAGAGCAACGGCCGTTGGTTTAAGTTGTATATTTAATTCAATATAATTTAATTGTACAGTCAGGTTGGTGATTGGTGTGAAGGGCGTGTCCAGCCAGAACACGCGTGTGTCGTCCTCATGTCACGCGTTGTGTCACTCAAATTAGTTAATTCATCAAAAATGCATACCTGCCACAGACGCCCTGTTTAGACAATGTTAATAAAATAAATTAAGTGTCAAGTTTTTTATTTAACGTTCAAATTTACTTTTTTAACAACGCCCTCATGTAAATACAGTTTTGGATGCCAAAACGGAAACTTCTCAAGTTTGTCACAGCTCAAGGTAAAAATTGATCTTATTTTAAAACCGTTGACACAGATACGCGATCACTGAAAACTATAAAGATGCAGTTTTGACCAAGTCCTTTTCATACGTAGTAGTTTTCTGTCGAAAAAGACTAATTAACCTTCTTGGGTGCACCGTTGTTGAAATCTAATATTTTGTTCCACCTACTGTACATTACAAATAAAATAATAAAATACAATGGTTTCATGTTGTTGGATGTAGTTTAACGTTTAATATGTGTCATAGACAAATATTACGGTACTTGCTTATTAAATTAAATCAAATATCGCTTTATACTCTATGGTTGAGTCACAACAACTTCTATAGGTCATTTCTCAGAGTTCAAAATCCACCGTTAGTGGTTTAGCTTTGGACAGGGTTGGAAAATTGATTGATGTCAATTCAATTTGTTTGAGATGCCTGGTGGGAGGGTCCCACTGAAAATTGTCAAAAATCTCGATCTGGTCTAGAAGATGTCTTGTACAATACCCATACAGTGAATGATTGATAGTAGCAGTCATACTGCCCACTGCCGTAATATATATAAGAATGAACTCGAACTTGTAACGCCGTGATTGAAGTATTGAGCTGCAGCAAGACAAGACAACAGCTGACATTGACGTGGGTGGTTCTTGGGAGGAGGGGGGGGGGGTTATAAGGGAGGAGGGATCATTTAAACTGTAAGGATCAACATCTCATCATCTGGAGCATTATATCAGGCGTTCTTAGTACAGAATACTCTGTAGTATACTCTGCACGATGCTAACAACGCATATTTAAACAGTAGCATTACACTGTCTAAAGCCCTGTCCAGCCGCCATAATTTGAAATTTAGGTTTTTGATATTTTAATTACAATTTTAAATTAGGCTTTGAAAATGTGCATGTAAAACTATTGCAAAGTATGTGATCAGGCATTCTATATAATGACTAGGAATTCCATACAGCCTAAAATCCTATAAAAGTATAAAATCCTGTAGTTATTACTCAGTTTCATAATTGGCCTTAAAACTTCCGGTGATACTATAGAATGCCTAGTCAATCTATAGAATGCCTGCTCTATATACTTTGCCGGTAACATCTAATAATTTTTCATAATTCAAATTACATTTTCTGTAACTTTGATTTATATTGTGTATTTGAAAACTCATTTACCATTTTTCGTGTTAAACGCTATAAAAAGAATGAGTGGATTACAGTAAGCATATGGTTCAGTATAACTGTTTTGAAATTAAATAAATACATGTTTCATTGTTTCAGAAACCACTCAGTGTTTGATATTGAAGCAGGCAAGAAATTCACTAAAGCAGGATTTATGAAGACATGGGAGGTAAGAAATATCTTGGTTTAATACTAAATATACGGTAACAAAAATATAAAATATGTATCACAGTGTTTATTTTACCCATTTCAAAAATAGGTACCTACTATATACCACGTACAGGGTGGCCCAAAAAATAGGTACTCATCATTTCACGGAAATTTATTATTATTTATTAGCTGTACAAACTTACTCTATCTAACTACGTGCTGTTCATGTTTACACCATTGTTTATCAAATATTGCATTCGTCTTTGCATGATTTCAACCATTCCTGAACATTTGTTGTGGAGTGTGATGTCCATTAACACAGAAGTTAAGTTAAAACAGTAGTTTAGATGAGTACCTATTTTGGACCACCCTGTATAAATATTCGTGGTATATACTCTTGATTTTCAACAGATATTTTCGTGCATCACTTTGTAATTACGTTATATACAGTACTGCAGGTCAAATGTTGTAAGCCTTTAATTCAGTACCTTACACAATTATAGTTAAGTCATATTAAATGTAGGTACACCATGATTTGCTAATATATAGGTACCTCTTCAACACAAATAAACACATTAAAGTGGGTAAAGAACAGGAGGCTATTATTATTCTTCACCCATATTTAACATTCATTTAAAACACTGAGATTGCACCTTCTATCAAAGTTTGAGTCGTAAGTAGGTATTATAAAATTCCAAAATTAATTAGTAATTATTGTACTGTAGAATTTGTGTTTTAAACTCGACTATTTATGGCTTCACCATTAAATATTAAATTACTTGTCATGAATTAGTCGTTTTAAAATGAACAATCCTTCCCAATCCAATATATTAATTAGTACTACTATACGTCACCTCATTGATGCGTTACAAGATCAACACATCATAAACGAATGTTTTTAATTGATTTGTGTATAAACATTATACCTAATCAAATGTAAAACACGTGCATTATTTAACAGTATTGCAACAGTATTGATTCTTAAGTCTCAAATGAATATGTGTGATTTCATAGAATCATTTATGCCAAATAAGGTTAGTTTTAAAGATCCTAACCTTTCAAACTTATGAATGAATTGTTTGCTTAAAACGGAGAGTTTTCGTGCACTTCACAATCCATCGACTTTTAAACCCCTTACTTATTGTATTATTGTTGGATAGGAGATAACTTACCAGAACAATGTTTTAGCTTTCAGGGTATCTTGTAGTGAACCCTGAGTTGGTTAACGAAGTGGCAAAATTCTATTTCATCATTGGCATTGAACCAAACAAGCAAGCGTAATTAGAGGGTTACCATTTATTGTAAGCTTTGCTGTTTTATCAGCCTGTTAATTGTTTAATCGTTCAACAATCGTACCGTGTGATTACTTACTTCAATCTATGTTCTTATTCCGTAAACCTTTCAAATTGTTGTCAAATAACTATTGGACTACGTTAGACGTGAGATTGTTCAACGTGTACAAACTATGGATTTGTAGCGGAGAGGGAAGTAAACAGATGTAGAAGGAGGTTTGGGGAGGTTCAACAGCTGATTGGGGTTGGGAGCGCCTCACGATATTATTACTCCCACCACGCCACCTCCATTGTGTGCAGGGCAAAAACACAAATAATGTGCTGTGCATACATAACCAAGTCATATGTGAAAGGATATCGAATAGTTACAAGTCTTCATTTGTCGTACAGTTTCAAATTCATATATATCTTGCTTTAATAGTCAAAAATTAACAGCGAAAAACAAGTGTTTTTGTGATAACTTAAGCAATTTGAAAATCAATCAAAAGATGATGGAATTCTTTTCAAATCTAACACTCTTATCATTTTTGATAACCGAATAGCTTGCACTGAGTAGTTCGTTAGCGGATACAATTTTGTTTAATGGCAAGTAGAAATTAATGTTTATTTGTGAACTAAAAATAAAACATGGTTAATCGAAGTAACAGAAGGTTATGGCAAGGAAATTGCTAATAAAGCTTAAAAACTGTCTCATAATTTGGGTGGCCTGTGATGGGAGGCTTGACAAATCATTATTCGACCTGTGGGGATGCGATGTTTGTGGTGTAGATATTTATCCAATCCCAATTCTCCACATCGAGGGTTGGTATTGATTGTTGAGTAGAGTAAGAAGTAGAATACTCGTGCGACTGCAGGCCGCAGGGGTCCCAGCGCTGTAGTCGTCAGGTCTTCTGTATCACACTGCACTCTGCACTACCGAGTGAGGGAAATACGAGTTTGTAAACAGAAAGTAAAGTCATTAGACGATTCTATTCTTTACAACTGTAATAAAACTAAAAACATGTTTAGCAGCAAACCTCTAAAACATTACCAACATCTATTAAAAAAACAACAACTTCGGCATTTGCAAGTACCAATAATTAATTTTTAAATAGACTCCTGCCATCTACGTGGGCACGTGGTATCTATTTTGGAAAAAACTTATCAATTTTGATGGAAGTCTTTGTTCATCCACATACGTAGTATTCTATGACTAAAATATATTTGAGTTTAAGCATAATGTGGCCCTAAATTTACTTTCATATTAAATGAGTGTTTTAATTTCATTAAGTAACTAGCTGTGTACCCGTTCTACGCACGGGGATCTTATAATATTCAGTTGAAACCTTCTTATATAACGAACAGCAGTTGGTTTGCATATTTTAAGATATGCTGGCCAAACTATTATACATAGCTTCATTTTATGTTGTTTTTTGTTGTTCCGGATCGGTATGACAATCAATAAAAGGTTAAATTACCTCTGTGTCTGCCGGTCGATCCTATAACGGTAGGCTTACTTTTATTTTTACTATCTGATCTCGTTTGCATGGCTCAATCACGTCCTGGTTGAAGTTCGTTCGCTACGCTCACTCACCTGTATGTTGGAGCTCGTTCGCTGCGCTCACTTTCCTTCAGGTTAGCTCGTTCGCTACGCTCACTTGCCTTCAGGTTAGCTCGTTCGCTACGCTCACTCGCCTCCAGGTTGCAAATTAGCTGTTGTCATAAATGTAAAAGAAATAATAGTGCTAGTGCTGCACCCTGTTGGTAATCCTTGTAACTTTAATGCTATTGAACATCACAGAACAGAACCAACTTGTTTAATTGAAACAGCTGTTAAGATTCAATAATTTCATTTCTCATAAGGTTAACATGGGCTTCCAGACATTCCACGTCAAAAATCGACAAAAACTTGATTTTCAAGGGTTTACTGTTAAATATCTAACTGTCTCATATTCGATGAAATACGTCTAAAACCATCTCATATATGTATAGTATTTGGAAAATAAGTTTCAGGCGGGACAGTGCTATAGTTATTGAGGAGTAGTTGTAATAAAGTGCGTATTTTAGCGTTACCAAGAGAATGACAGATAGACAGACAGACAGACAGACAGACAGACAGACAGAAATTGAGATAAGGTTTGATTCGGTTTCTCTGACCTATGAAATGTAAAAATAACCAAAAAGTTCATTATTCTAAGCAATGTACAGACAAAACTCTAATTTTATTTATATAGAAGATTACACAGCTTTAATGTTGTATTTGATGGTGATAAATTATTGCTGTACCTTTAGAGAAATTAAATCTCTTTGAAAATCGCTAAAATGAAGTTTTTGAACCAATATGAGTTTTGGCAAATATTATTATTGATTAAAATGACCAAAATAAAATATATACTGTAAAAGATTAAGAATCAAAATCAGAAAGAACACATCAGTGTTTTATTTCCACCTTTTTATTCTTGATGATGGCAACTTTTTTTCTCAAGTTGTAAATTTAAAACAAATTATCCAACGAAACATACTAAGATTTATATATTTTACAAAACTAAAATGTATTTAAAATCTGATTATGTAATATTCTATTTCTCCTATTTTCTGTTTCAATGTTTAGAAGAGGAAACAATGATATATCAGAGGTCAAAATTTAATGCATTTATTATGAAATATTTAATTTATTTTATTGTTTAGAAATTAAAAGGTCAAGAAAAATTACTCTTGAACAAATTGATGCTGTTTGGTATAAATTATCTAACCAGTTAATACTACTACAAAACTAGGTACTTTGAACTAAATTCACTAGTAAAAAACTATTGATAATCTACTATAGGCCTATTGTATCCATCTATGGTATTTTACACTAGAATTTTACAAGACTGGCCATATAAAGCAGTCAAATTTTAATACACTTAAATAAATCTATCTATTAGGCTATAACTGTAATAGTTTAAGTCATTTCAATCTCTAACAAAAAATTAAAAGTTATACATTAGAGAAAAAATAAATCATGAAGGAACTTTACGAGAGTATATGCTTAAATTTACTTGCATGCACAAAGATTCGTTTATATGTTTCGTGAGATTAAGTGTACAAGTCTATTACTTGAGGATCAGCAAAGTTAAATCAACTTTATTATGGTTACACTAAGTTAAAACAATGTTAAGAGGAAGACAAGCTAATATTTACGTTTGTATAAATACATCACACAAAATTATGTACAAAGGCAACACTCCACTTTTTACAGTTAGGGAAGGCCAACGACTGTGTTCTATTTTATATCACAAAAACAGGTACATAAACGTATCTGCAAATGTCTACTGCAATAACTTACTACATTACAATTTGACATCTTCTACTTCCAAATCAAAATCATGCTTAGCTGACTTCTATGCTCGACTCGACTAGTCTACAAGTATACCGTACCGGTACCTTACAAATTGGTTTATTGATATTATTTAGGCTACTGTGTTTCGCCTTGTATAACTAATTCAACATTACCACAGACTGACTGACATGTTTTCATATGAAAAACTAGTTCCATAATATAGTTTTAAAATCTGATACCCCTTCTAAATATTTCTTACTTGTACTAAATTATGAAGGCATTGCAAAAATTAAGTGTCTGGATCTTGCTTCAAAGTTTCATTTGATAGCTGTAAAATAAAGTATCCCACCAAATAATGCGTTTTAGCAACGTGGTGTGGTAGGGTCTATTTTTTAAGATGTCAAACTATATCTCATCGAAGGTCCA